TGTAGGCCCCCAAAGATCAGCATGAATGTAATCTAGAGATCCATGTGTTATTTGATTGCCTTTGTTAAACTTCTCCATACAGGATTTACCAAATACACAAGATTCACAAAACTCCAACTTTTCGACTTTGTCACCTTCTAGTAGGTTCTGCTTCCCCAATTCGACCAGACCTCTTTCGTTGACATGACCCAATTTCATGTGCCATATTTCTGCTTCGACACAGGTTTCGTGGATGCAACATTTGTCAAACCACTTACAACCTCAGCCTCAAAGGTATACAAGTCTTGTTTCTTCACGTCTCTTAAGAATTCCTTCGACCCCTTTATGACTCTTAGGATAATTTTCTCTCCCTGAAAAACATATCCCTTTCTGTCGAATTCACCAAGAGAAATCAAATTTCTCTTCAAGTCAGGTACATATTTGACTTCAATCAATAACCTTATTTACTCATCATGGAGCTTGAATCTCACAGATCCAATACCTGCAGTTTTGAAAGATTTGTTGTTTCCTAGCAGCACAGATCCACCATCTTGATCACATATCTCCTCGAACAATTCTCTGTTTGGAGTCATGTGGCAAGTGCAACCTGAATCCATAATCCACTCTTTTCTCGAGTCGCCACTTGAAACCACAAGAACATCAGATGAGTCGAAGTTATCTTGAACAATGGATGTGTTGCCATTACCTCCATGGTCTTTCAGGCGTTCAGGGCACACCTTTCTTGTGTGACCCTCCTTCTTACAGTGATAACATCGAATACTAGATGTTTCGCCACTATAAGAATTCTGTTGACTTTTATCTTTTTTCTTATCGAACTTACCATCCTTTTGCAAGAATTTTTCCTTAATGGCCAAACCTTTGCCCACCGTCGAAGGTTTATGCTCTTTTCGTTCGTTCAATTCCTTATAATACAAGGTTGATTGAACTTCTTCAAAGGTCAGGTACTCCCTTCCATTCAAGAGAATTTCTTTGAAGTGAGCATGTGTTCTGGGCAAAGCACACAACAACAACAATGCTTAATCTTCATCATCGATCTTCACATAAATATTTTCAAGATCAAGAATCAGCTTGTTGAACATATCCAATTGCTCAGCCCGCACTTTGTCTTCACTCGTCTTGAATAAATACAAAGCTTGCTTTAGGTAGAGTCGAGTCACCAGAGATTTGGTCATGTATAAACTTTCAAGTTTCACCCATAATCCCGATGTTATAGTCTCCTTTAATACCTGTCGAAGAACCTTATCACCAAGGCTCAACAATATTGCGTCGTGGGCTTTCTCAATCATGCCCATCTTTTCTTTTGTCGTTAACGCAGCGTCCATGACTGCCTCTCCCTTTAAGGCTTCCAAACAACCCTGTTGAACCAGTAGGGCTTTCATCTTCAAGCGCCACAGACCGAATTTGTTCACTCAGTTGAAATTTTGAATCTCATACTTTGTTGAAGGCATCTCCTCCACGCACACGACACCAATTTGTTGTGAATCGGATGTCTTTAAACAAAGTATAAACGGTTTCTTTTTTATCAAGAAACACACAAGGGTTAGGGTTAACAAAGAAAACAAGGTAAAACAACAAGGAACAACAAGGATTGGTTATAAACAGTTATTATTTCCTTTCTTTTAGAAAAAGTTTACAAGTATACAAGAATAACAAAATAACCTCTCTCTCTTGAAATTAGGATTTTATCTTCCTATTTTTCCTTATGCCAAGATTGATAAACTAGCATCCTATTTATAAGAAAAATAGCACACTAACCTAATGAGATTTTTATCAATTATCCATTACAAGCTAACTTAGGGTACAAACTAACTTAAGCAATTGGGCTTACAGGAAAGGCTCAATTATACATGTTAATAACCCTAGCAATATTAACTAATGCATGTTAGAACAAACTTCGACTACAACACGCATTACTTCGCCAGCAGCATGCGAATATACTTCGACCTCATGCTTAATTTCTATCGAACCAGAAGCTACCCTTCAGCCATACTAGAGTTCGATCCAACATCTCACAACGTTAAACTAATTCAGTTGATACTTGTGCATGGATATTATATGTAGTTATGTATTTAAATATGCAACATTATATATATTTTTTATTTTTAAAAGATAAATTTCAATCATTAAACTACTTTTAAAAAATAAATGTTTTATTCTTTTCACGACGAGAGTTGAAAATTAAGAATCTATTTTAAAGAACCATGATTTTCACTTAATATTTAAAAATAACTATAATTTCAAACAAAACAAAAAACGAAACTAACTGATCTTACCTGATTAGAAAGGAATCAGTAGCCTGTCACGCGTCATGAGCTGCTACCTTCACCGGTGTTATAGAGGCGGAGGAGGTGTATCTGCAAGGTGCTTCGATGCTTAAGTGAGTATCGGAGTTAGAGAGAGAGAGAGAGAGAGAGAGAGAGAGAGAGAGAGAGAGAGAGAGAGAGAGAGAGAGAGAGAGAGCAAATACAGAGAAAAGTTGTAGTGAATAAGATGCCTAACCCTCTAGTAAAAGATGATATTTGTACCTCCAGCACAGGGCCAACGACTACATTGCATTGGGCCGGATTTCCAAGTCCAACACAAGTAATTGCCAGGGCATACGTGTCGTAGGGAAGACCAGCACGTGGTCTTCACCCTAGATAAATTGCCCCGTGATCTTCGGAAGGTGGATTGATCTACTCTTTTGGAAGTGGGTAGTTGTCTGATGACGTGTCCCGCGTGGGGGGCACGTGGAGTCCGTGGGGGAAGCGCGTTAACTTCCCCATCAAAAGAGTCATCTGCCCAACTAGTGTGCCTTGTTGAGGCTTGTGCCCGATAGAGGGGAATTGGGTCTTGTTGGACCTCATCAGCATAGCACTGGGTTTGGCCTGTCTGGCTAAGGGGCAGGTCCCGACGCAGTCCAGAACACTAACTATGTTTCAAACAAAAAAAAATAGCTGGCAAGAGAAGTTGCCACTTTGAATAGTGTGTACATAAATTTGTTGTACACAGGTGCCATCATGCATGACGCATGCTTACATATGCAATGACATGTACTATAAGCATGAGCCATGCATGCTGGCGACTGTACAACAAATGTACGCATGCGCCATTCAAAGTGAGTACTCTTCTTACCGGTTAATTTTTTAGTTTGAAACATGATTAGCTTCATATTGTTTTTAAATTATGATTACTTCAAAAAATTAATTGAAAATGGCGATTATTTAAAAAAAATCAAAAATTAATTAAAGTTAGATTATACCTGCAAAACATTTATGTGTTTTCAATTTCCATTATTGAATAGTATACTTTTTATCTTTTTTCTTTTTTGAAATATAAAAGGTGTTTTTAAAATCCATTATTAAATAGAATATTTTTATTAATTAATTAATTTATTTTTGAAAAACTTACTTTTTTCATCTGTATATAAAGGTGTTTTCAAATTCCATTATTAAATAGTATACTTTTTATTTATTTATTTATTTTGCATAACTTACTTTTAATCGGTATATAAAGGTGGTTTCAAATTCTATTATTAAATAGTATACTTTATATATATATATATATATATATATATATATATATATATATATATATATATATATATATATATATATATATATATATATATATATATATATATATATATATATATTTATTTATTTATTTATTTATTTATTTATTTATTTATTTATTTATTTATTTTTGTAAAACTTACTTTTCTAGTTAGTATATTTTATTTAAGAAATTTGATTTTTTTTTTTTCAGTTTTAAAATAATCGAAATCTAGAAGAAAAAATAATATATTTTACTAAACGAGGAACTAATTATATAAGCTTTTAGAATAATTTAAATTTAGTCAATGTAGTTGTGTAATTTTTAAAAATAATTATTAACTAATTTTATATATATATATATATATATATATATATATATATATATATATATATATATATATATATATATATATATATATATATATATATATATATATATATATATATATATATATATATATATATATATATATATATATATATATATATATATATATATATATATATATATATATATATATATATATATATATATATATATATATATATATATATATATATATATATATATATATATATATATATATATATATATATATATATATATATATATCATTTTAAATTTAATTTTCTATTTTTATTCCTAGTATAAATATCCAATTTTTTTAATATTTAATAAATTATATCAATTTTTTTTTCCTTTATCCGGTCAAACTATCAATAAATTATTGTATATATAAAATAAAAAATATGTTTAACTTTTATATTAAATAAATAATCAACAAGGTACCTGATTCAATGAAAACGTTATCTTTTATCAAAAACATAAAATTAATATCAATGTTACTACTAGCAATAAATCCACCAATATTCAATGTTTATGAATAAGTTTTTTTTTTCTACAATAAACATTTCCATGAGTTTCAAATATTAAAATCGCATCAGAAACTCATCATGTTATTTACCTCAATAAATCAGAGAAATATTGCCAATGGTAAGGTTTTATTATTTTACCATCCTAAAAAAGAATATTTTACCTTTTTTATAATCATTTATATGCATTGAACTCTTTGGCCTTTTTTTTTTGTAAGGGAAAAAAATCAGAGAAAGTATCTCATTTATTTTCTAGAATCGTTTCAATTGGTAAAATATCAAAAATTATTAAAAATAAATATACCAAATATTTATTTAACCAAATTCTACCTTTGAATGAGATTTTGTAAGAAGCATGATTTTCAGCATTGTTCATTTTTTTTTCTTGCCAAATCATATCATATACGCAGTGTCACACCTTGATTTGTTACCAATAATTTTATAGAGGAACCAATTAAATTGTTTACCCAATTTATTATTTTACCTATAAAATATTCTTATTGTGCCTATAAACTTCACTCCTTAATTCTCACATGAAATCATTTTCATTCATTCATCAAATTAAATCAATTAGTCCAAAAAAATTCCAACATGCCGAAAAACCTTAGAAAATCCCTTCAACGTTACTTTAGCAAAATCAAAACTCAACATTCACATCAACTCCGTTTACCCTCCAAGAAATGGATTAGTATCAAAAGTTGCACACATCCTAGAACTCCGTCTTTCTCGATCGAAAACAAAAACAACAAGGACGATGAGGCCACCCTAGCCGATATCGATCAATTTCTCTTTGAAAATTTTAAGTCGTTGTTTCTTGATGATCAAGAAGACGCTCAACCTAACAAAAACACTAAATGTGGCGTCATGTCAGAAGATGAAGAAGATAAAGATGGAGAAAAAACTCGTGAAAATAAATCTTCAAACTTAGGGCGAACTTTTTTTGATTCATCCGAGGGAGGGTCACCTTTGGATCTTAATGGATCCAATAGATTTTTTACGCCACGTGGCTTCTCGGGATCCACAACAACATCAACAACAAACACATTTGAAGAAACGGGATCATCCTCAAACTCGTCAACTTCAAAAACCTTCAAAATTGATTCGTCTTCAAAGGAAACGAAGATTCCTAATAATTGTGTTGTAGTGTTGGCGAGTTCGCCAAATCCTTACGATGATTTCCGCAAATCTATGCAAGAAAATGTGGAAGCTAGGATTACGAAGAATCAAAGTGTGGATTGGGATTTCATGGAAGAACTTTTGTTTTCTTATATAAACATGAATGAGAAGAAATCATGTAAGTTTATACTAAGTGCTTTTTGTGACTTGATTAGTGTCATGAGGCAGAGTTCAGACACAGAACCGGATACGGATCCAGAGAAGCCGCGAAGCGTTCGGACCATTCGAAAGGGGAGGGATGTAAGGAAGAAGAAGAATAAAGTACTAACATTATAGTTTGAGGTTTCAAGATGAGTTAATTTTCAATGTTAGATCAATTGTAAAAGATGTATAATCAAGATGTATTTCATAGCAAAAGATTTGATATGATTTGATGTATGATCAATTTTCAATGTTAGAGGTAATTAATAAATGTTAATGGTTATCAATTGTAATTTATGATACAATTCATGTCTTGGAAGAAAATAAGTTTAATTGAATTTTTAGATCTTTCTTGACTCCAATAAAACCTCATGATTCAATATCAAAAGATAAAGAAGAGAAAGAGAAAAAAATAAAAAGAATAATAGTTTTACGCATTGGATGAAGACTCGGAACCAAATTCTTATTGAGAGGTAGTCTTCATAGAAAATATTACGATTAAAATGATTAATTCTTTAATTCATGAGTTTACTATCATCAAGACTTTCGATGTCAAACTATTTTTTAGATATGTGTTGATATTATACATAGAGAGATGGATAATGATTGGACTCATAATAAATAGAATAAAAATTACAAAATAAATTAGAGCATTGACACAAATATTATTTATTAAAATAAATAGGTATGAGTGTAAATAAATATAGACAAAATGTCTTTTGTCTTTTAACTATACTCTTTAGTTTAGATTGATTTTTTAATTTTTTTTGGTGAGGTTGATCCATTAATTTTTAAAATTTATCATGTGAATCATTTCTGTCTAATTAGCGACAAATTTAATGATTCGTTTTTTTTAATATTTTTTTTTATCACTAATTAGACAAAAATGACTAACATAACACATTTTAAGGGTTAAGGTACTAATTTAACACAAAATAAAAATTAAGAGACCATCTAAATCTAAAGATATAGTTAAGGAATCAAAATAAATATTTTGCCATAAATATATGTTAGTACTCAAACTACTTTATGTCCACACCATCAATATTTATATATTTTAATTTATATTATTCTATAAAAATACATTTTTATCACTTTATAAAAATACACCAATATTAAACAATTTTAAGTTTTAACACAACAATAAAAATTTTAGAATTTTTAAATATTGTTAAAGATTTAAAATAATATAATATTTTATAATTGATGGATTTATTTATACTAATATTACATGTAACAAGTGCATGCATGGATACTTAACCACTCATTTAATACAAATTTAAACATTGGTGTTGACACAAATATAAATTTAAATAGAAAAAAAATAAATTACGAATACTTTACGGAATATGATACTATGTTCAAACTTTGCCCATTACCATTCAAATAAATGAAAATTCATAGTTTCGATTATTTAGTGGCAAAAATTTCACTGGAGCTAATTTCAAAGTGGAATACAATCTTTTATTACAACCAAAAACATAATAATTGATTTATAAATATTTATTTCACATTATAAAAAGTTGACTCATAAACTATAAAGACATAAATATTTTTTATTGGAGATAAGAAAATTAGTATTATAGTTTGACCAAAAAATTAAAAAACAAAGGGTGTTTCGAAAAAAAGTGAAGACTTATTAAATTAAATCTAGAAAGTAAAATTTTATAATTCAGTCAAACATGTGATTTATATATAAAAAGTTAGCGGTGCAAGTTCTTATATAAAATTTTGATTCCTTTGGTCTTAAGATATTATAATAATAGTATTCTATATTATGTCTCAATTCGACATTTGATGATATAATATAATTTAAGGTAAAATATGTTAGGATCTCTAAATATACCATAATTTAATTATAAAATCATTAAAAGAAAATTTTTCCTTAATGTTGTTTTCTCTAAATATTTAGTCCCTCTTTATAATATCGGTTAACGCGTAGGAATTTAATGATTGAGTATACACATAACAATGTCAATATGACAAAGATACTTATGTAAAATGTCACGTGATAAAAATTATTAAAAAAGAATTACAAATATAAAAAGTGTGAGATAATTAATATGTAGCAAATTTAATCTCAAAAAATTCAAAAATAAAATTTTCAATTTAATTTATCTTTTCAGGATCTTTGCGTGTATCTCTCCACAAAAATTAGAGTTTTTTATTTTATTTTATGAGAGATGATTTAAATTTGAACTTTCTAAACGACAATTTCCCATTAAACTGAAACAAAACAAACCTTGTCTTTTGATTGAATTTTGTATTAATATTTTACATGAACTTTTAACTAGTGCAAAAAGAAGAATATATTTTTAAAATTTATACCTATTATATTAAAAACGGGTGTAAATAAAAAATATGGTGACAATTTTATAAATAAAGTGTCATTTTTAAATATTACCACATGACAATAGATATTCTATTTTTTTAAAAAACGAGTGTAAATTCAAAATATTATTATAATTAAATCTCAATTACTCATTTTAAATTTAAAACGGATAAAAATTTAGATAGACTGAAATCAGTTATTTAATTTTACATGGATATAAGATTCCATGGATATAACTTTATTTTCTTTTTTTATAAAAAAATTCATCTCCAATTTTTATTTTTGTTATTTTAATTTTTGTTTTAATATTTTAACTTTTATCTATTTCTTTTATGTTTTCGTCTCTCTTATTTTCTTTTATGAACTCTAGAAAATTCATTTTCCTTTTCCTTCACTCTTATTAAAAAAATTTTAAAAATATATAAGACTTTATAATATTGTAATATTAGTTAACAATTATTTTTTCAGGGAAATATATTGTATATTTAAATTTTGTAAATATAATTTAACATAACTTTTCAATTTTTCTCATTTATATTTTACATTCGGTCTTATTATTATTATTATTATTGTTATTATTATTATTATTATTATTATTATTATTATTATTATTATTATTACATAGAGCATGCTGATTTGTAGATACCCTTCCAATAATTTACAAATGTTCATGAGCTATTTCCTGTCAATTATGTTTTCCATTTTTTGTGCGAAGGAGAACTATTCTGTAAAAGGAAAAGTACATGTTGATAAGTGCAAGATTGAAGAAGGTGTTTTAGGCAGAAGTTGTTGTGACTGCAACATGCTTGGTAAATAGGTGTGTCTCGACAGCCTTGTGAATGAAGACACCTGAAGAAGTCTGGTCGGGGCACCCTAGTCTCGAAAGACAGAGTATTTAGTTATTTAGTCTATGCTCATATTAGGCAAGACAAGATCGAGCTTAGAGCTCTAAGATGTATGTTCTTTGGATATCCTGAAGGAGTCAAAGCTTATAGGCTGTGGTGCCTAGAGCCAGCTCACAAGACGTGTATCATAAGTTGAGTTGTAATATTAAATGAATCTGAGATGACTTTCAAGAAAACTGATAATATTGGCCGAAGTTCGAAGATCTCTAAAGAAGAGTTGGAACAAGAAGAGATTTATGTTGAGGTGGAGCATAATGATGCTGAATTGCTTGACTCAGATGAAGTCGAAAGCAGAAACTGTTGTCGAAGATGAGGAGACTGATAATAACTACCTGTTGGAAAGAGATAGGTCGGGAAGAGTCATCAAGCTACCTTATAGACTTGGTTATGTAGATCTCATAATTTATGCCTTAGTGTTTGCAAGTGAGATTTTGGACGAAAAACTTAGAGACTATAAGGAAGTTATAAGGAGTCGAGACAAGACTAAATGGTTGAAAGTCATGGATGGTGAGATGAAATCTCTTCATGATAATAAAACTTGGGAGCTGATCGAGAAACCTGCAGGGGCCAGGTTAGTCAACTGTAACTGGATTTTCAAGTTTAAAGAAGAAATCAAATGAGTGATGACGAAGCGTTTTAAGGTAAGGTTGATTGCTAGAGGATTCATCCAGAGAGAAGGTTCCAACTTCGATGATGTATTCTCACCTGTTATAAAGCATAGATCCATTAGAGTGTTGTTAGCCATGGTGGCGAAGTTTGACCTAGAACTTGAATAGATGGGTGTGAAGACAACCTTCCTGTATGTGATCTAGATGAAACAATTATGATAATGAAACCTGAAAGGTATGCAGAAAAAGAGAAAGGAAAATTATGTGTGCAAACTGAATAAGTCTTTGTATGGCTTGATGGCTTGAAACAATCTCCTCGACAATGGAATAAAATATTTGATAATTTCAGGGCAAACATTGATTTCACTAGGAGCTAGTTCGACCATTGTGTTTACTTCAGATTTTGACCTTGAAATTCACTTGTTATTTTGTTGCTTTATGTGGATGACATCCTCATAGAAAGCAACTGTGTCGAAGATGTTACGAAGGTGAAGGCTGAACTTGATAACGAGTTCGACATGAAGGATTTTAGAGTTTCCTCTAGAATTCTTCGGATTGACATCTAGAGAGATAAAAAGTAGTCGAGATTATGTTTATCTCAAGAGACATACCTGAAGAAGATTCTCGACAAGTTTGGTATGTCAAATTCAAAGTTTGTTCTAACACCGACTAATCCTTAATACAAGCTAAGTACAATTCAAAGTCATAGTACTAAATTCGAAAGAGTCTGTATGAATAGTAATCCATATGCTAGTATAGTATGTTCTTTGATGTATGTTATGGTATATACGAGGCCAAACATAACATATGTGGTGAGCCTTGTAAGAAGGTATATGGTCAATCTTAAGATGGCGCATTAGAAAGCATTAAAGTAAATTGTTAGGTACATCAATGGGTATCTGAGCAAAGTTCTGATTTTTGGAGGAGCTTGTGGTGATGATAGCAAAGTCGAAATCAAAGGATTTTTTTGACTCTGATTATACAGGTTGTGTGTATTCCAAAAAATCTATTTTTGGATATGTGTTCACTATGTTTGGAACAATAATCAGTTGGAAAGCAACACTTCAGAAGGTTGTTGCCTTATCAACCACTGAAGCAAAGTATATTACCCTTGCTGAAGCTGTGAAAGAAGCATTGTGGCTTGAAGATTTTTCTAAAGAGCTAAAACTTCAAGGTCCAGTTATCACTGTCAAATGTGATAGTCAAAGTGCAATACATCTATCGAAGAACTCAACCTATCATGAGAGAACCAAGCACATCGTGTAACGCCCATTTTAATTAATTTCATTT